CGCCGAAATGATTTGATTTGGAAAATTCAAATCGTTTTCTATCCAATCATGGGTAAAAATTATTCGAAAGTCAATTTAATAAAAATTTTGTACGTTGTTACTTTTTTCTGTGCAAAGGCGACTTTTTGACCTTCAAACGATCATAACTTCCTTCATATTCGAGCTTCAGCGCCGAAATGATTTGATTTGGAAAATTCAAAATTTTCTATCCGACCATGGGTGTAAATCCTTCGGAAGTCAATTTAGTAAAAATTTTGTACGTTGTTACTTTTTTCTGTGCAAAGGCGACTTTTTGACCTTCAAACGATCATAACTTCCTTCATATTCGAGCTTCAGCGCCAAAGTGATTTGATTTGGAAAATTCAAATCGTTTTCTATCCAAACATGGGGAAAAATTCTTCGAAAGTCAATTTAATAAAAATTTTGTACGTTGTTACTTTTTTCTGTGCAAAGGCGACTTTTTGACCTTCAAACGATCATAACTTCCTTCAAAATCATTCATTTGGGAAGCTGAACACGTATAATAAACTACAGGATTCAAGCTTTCTAACGAGCACCCAAGCGTTCCTGAAAGATCAGTAGTTCAAAAATTAGTCCCGTTGTTACTTTTTTGGGGGTTTGCGTTACTATTTTTTTGGAACCGCGACTTTTTGACCTTCAAACGATCATAACTTCCTTCAAAGTCATTCATTTGGGAAGCTGAACACGGTATAATAAACTACAGGATTCAAGCTTTCTAACGAGCACCCAAGCGTTCCTGAAAGATCAGCAGTTCAAAAATTAGTCCCGTTGTTACTTTTTATTTTGAGGGGTATTCTTCAAGCCATTTTCTCGAAAACGCGAGTTTTTCTTAGATTCACTAGCCCGTAACTTCTCGGAAGACCCGTTGCTTGCGTGGCGCGCCGCTCGGGCGCCCTTCTAATTCGCTGATTCATTTGAAAGCTCATTTAGAGGGAAGCGTGGTTTATAGATGCTCTAGTATCAGTCATCTTACGAAAACGTAACGTGCTGGCTATTATCCGATATTACCAAGAATCCCACTGTCGGCCACCGAGAGGGTACGACCCCCCTCCAAGCTCAACTGAGTACAACCCCTCCCCCCCCCTTTTTCTCTAACAACGTAGGGTTGACCCTGAGCCAGATGCGGCATGACCTCGAGTATGATATGGAAAAGATTGATAAGTAAGTAATAACTCGCAGATATGTCGTACATATCTGAGCCCTTGTTTCTCTGATCTGTTATTTCTTGCTATTTTGCTATTATCACTCCAACGCCTTATCTGCATTTCTCGAAACATTTTCCTACTTTTGATAACTTCTCGATGGAGAAGAGTATCTTAGAGATAAAAAAACCTTGGAACAAATGCAGGTAAATTGTGAGAAATGACAGGCAAAAAACCGACGTCACTCCAGTCAGCTCGGCTTCACTTCGTGACAGAAATACCTCGGTTTTCGAGGTTTGTTTCGTTGTCATAAACGATGCACTTTGCATTTCTCACACGTGGATGAACTTGCGTTTCTGCTCAGACACCAAACATACACCTGTTGGAGAATTATGTTTCCAACAAGGTTTGATTTCCGAGCACAACTCAGTGGAACTGTTTGATTTTTATATGACGCGGCGTTTACCTGAGTCACAAGACAATGAAAGATCTTCTAGGTACAGTTCTACTCCATATCCTGCACGATGCTCGAAGAAACTGTTTTTTCCAAAGCAAACTTGGCCCGAAATTTGGGCATGTGTGACTGCCTCTCAACTCTTTCACGATTTTCGGTACCATTCGCCTTTAAATAAATTATGATGACGGTTTCCCTCTTGTTTTCACCTAAAGACAAAGTGTGGATAACAATCAGTAAAAATTTTGATCAAGCCGAAAGAAGGCCACGCAGAAAAGTTATACGACTGGCTGTATAATTATGCGGAGCAGTGTAGTAGGGATGCTTGAGCACAGATACTACGTTCGTACTCACAATCAGAAACGGCCGCTCTACGCATACCAGCGGGCATGCAAGTTGGGAAAATTTGCGAAGTTATCGACCTCAAACTCAGCAAAAAGGGATGACCAATAATGGAGGAATTATGATTCTCCACTGCCAAATAGTCAGTCACAAAAATGCAAAAGGAAAAAGGCGCGAGAGGAATGACCTTACATGCTCTGAAATCGACGAGGCACTGCCTTTTTTTTATTTTGTTTTCTTTTTTATACGAAGTTATACGACTAGCACCCGCTGATAAACAGCGATGCTTCTTCGGACACCGCTACTGCTGGAACCGACTCCTCTCTGTGTTAGACTATGTGGGGATGGAGAAAAACTCCGCAACTCCGTTCAGCATGGGTTTGGCACATTTGGGAATGCGAGATCAGAGTCCGAAACCACATAGCGTGGTATTTGTTTCATTTCACATGGCTACTTCGCCCCTTGCTCCTTTTCTGATTAGTATTCTAAGCACTTTTTTTTACAGTCTACATCATACATTATACTAAGTTATACGAATATACAGGGGGGAATCGAAGATAAGGTGGGCCGGACACGTCATGCGATTTTGCGATGACCGTTGGACCAGAGCGGTTACCGACTGGATCCCTCGGGACGTCAAACGAACACCTGGACGACCGCCGGCCCGATGGTCAGACTTCTTCACGAAAGCTCTGAACGAAAGGAATGAAGGACATCGTGTCCCTCGAGCGAGGAGGGTCCACTGGACAACTCTTGCACGCGACAGGGACGAATGGAGACGTTGCTGGCGCCCGCTCGAGCAATTCGATGATCAACGGGACGACAGGTGATACAGGTGATACAGGTGGGCAATAAAAAAAAGGACATTTGTCTCCAGACTCAAATGGATTTAATCACACTTTGCTCAGTGAAAAGCGTGTGCTCCCAACTTAGAATTGAAGAGCGCATTTCATTTCATAAGAAATTCTTCATAGTGGCCATCTACGTGGACGGCATTAGGAAAATTTGCCCCGGGAACATGGTACTCCGGTCTACAGTGGGTTCTCGACTGATGGTGTACCGTTACGACGGGTTCGAAGGGCGCGGTTTCCGAGGGGTTTGCATAGTTAGAGCTAATGTCCCTAGGAAACTATCCCACGTTGAATCGATCCAAGAAATTATGTAAGAGCTTCAGGATGAAGCAGTTACTGTAGGCCTCCCTGAGCTCGACGACGGTGACAGATGACGTCATATTCTGAAGACGGTGAGGGTAGTGAAGGAGGGCCTGCGTGTACTTATAGAGGGACATTTAGGGAATATTTTGCTGAGGAACTTCCGTCAACGACGGCAATCTCTGCGAAGAAAAAAGGCCGAAGTGCGACCTGGGCAAAATGTCTTTTTTCTTTTACCCCCCCCCCCTGTACACGTTTAATCTGCTATTCGACGAAATTTCTTGGGCCAAACTTTGTAGTACGAGCACTGTTTTTCAAGTGCACAAAATGTGGAGTCTTATTCATTTCATTGTCGGACCGTCTTGTTTTCTCGTAGTAGGAAATGAGCTCAGAACAACAATTTCTACAAGTAGGATTATGTGTACAGATACACACGGATAAGAAACTCTGATAATGTGGGGTGAGATGGCGTGACGTTTCATTCATGCTTCTGCTATGCTGGCTTCAGCAGCGTGCTCTTAGAAAGGACTTCGTACCTCCAGAAGTTTACAACAGAAATCTTTCGAAAGCTGTGAGTTCACGATATATAGTGCCGATCGAACAGCTCAGGGTATGCTATCGCTCTGTCTGATGCTGCGCACTAGCGCAGGATATGAAAGTGTCGTCAAACCACTGACGCAGTCGTGGCAGTCATTGCCTTGAGAAGTGCAAGATAACTGAACCATCGTATACGACTCTCTGAATGTGGAACAGACATTGTGCAGGACTCCTGTCATTGACGCAAGCTAAAAGCGATATAAGGGCTGCTGCGCTGCTTGACTGCTGCGCTGTAGGCGCAGTGCACCATTGAAACAGAGTGCGCTTGCTAAGTTGACCAACTGTCGTAATGGTCATGGTTATCAGTTTTGTTCGGTAGATGTGTCAGGGAGTCATACTGTTCGGAGGAGGTGCGCTCGCAATCAGGATATTTTGCTAATGTAAGCCAGTCTGCTGTGATCCTGGAATCCCTGACAGTCTACGAGTACTTGAAGATGTGAGTAGAAACGGAAGGCGTTCATGCCTTGAGGGACATGCAAAACGGGCTTTCAGAAACTGCGATGGGGGAAGTAGCCGCGCGAGAACCAGCGGTAGGCAACACATCTTTTTCCGAATGCTTTCCTCTTTAAGGCTTAGTCCCGAGTACTGTAAGTGACTCACTCATTTGAATACCTGCCCTAGCGACAAGAGCGTCGGAGAGGGAATCGCTACACTGGGCACAGAACAGTAGGGCACTCGAAACAAAGACAAACAATTTTATCCGACTCGTCAATGTTACCTTGCATTCTATATGATTCGCTAAGTATTTCTCTGTCTGGGCGTTTTTGTGTACCTCCTTCTGTCTGTCACGAAGTTCAAAATCAAAGGACGGGAACATTCTTGGCGGGTGAAAGAAAATGATAAGAACAGGTACGATCGACAAATGGTGCCAGAAGGGAAGGGTCAGTTTATTGCGTGATTTCGCGAACAGGCATTCAGTATTGGCGGCAAAACTGATGTGGCGCGGTGGCGACAGGAGCTTTTCGTGTGACAGAAATTTGAGAACTTTGAGGATAGGGATGAGCAAGTACGCTTTGAAGGACGGGTTATGGATCCATGCGAGTGCGCAACCAGCCAATTCAGCCGGACGCTTCAGTCACGATGTGATGTAGAGGTGAGATGGTCAATGGGCTAACATATTGCAGTAAAGGGGCGCTAGAGCGAGTCTCGAAATTGCTGCACGCCACTCAGGAGAAGAGAGTGGACTTCTTCTGAAGGGTCATACTTGTCGACGACAAAAAGTAACGCTGATAGGGGCTGGGCGGCCTGTCATGGAGAAGTCGCGGAAGTGGGTGAACACCTAAAGTCGGCCTATCTTGGTACACGATAGAACACATTCCAACTTCATGTGCGTGTCGTAGTCAGTCTCGCAGATTGAGTTAGACCGCTAATCTGCCCGAGCTTCTTAAGATGGTTGGTGCTTGCGGCAATATTATAAGGATTGGAGTCTTCACTCCAATATCGCCGCTGTCCAACCGCTAAATCATTCCAACATCTCGAGCATGACCTTTGTTTACGCTAAGTCTTGATACTGAGCAGCTCGTGTAATCGTATCACTTATCCAAAGCTTATTCGGCCGCTAGATCATCTTGGATTTCAAGATGGGCTTTTGTAGGTGTTGAAGTGCTGCGGGAAAGTGGCTGCTTGAAGAGAAAACACTGATAACAATCTATCCTCAAGCTTTTGCAGTTGGCTAAAAATTGCAAAGTTTCTCGTGAGGACATTCTTCGCGCTTTATTTTGTGCCATTCCCCGGGGCATTTTCTCAACCCGATGTTCCGAAAGAACACGCGTGGTCGATCGAGAGTCGTCGAGGCAGCTGAGGAACATATATCTCTGAGACACAGGCGTGACATCGACTTCTTATCGAAAAATAGCTGGGTGCAGTTAAATCCAAAGCTTTTATTGATATTGCTATTTACCTTTTTGTTTCTTGTGTGTTTTGGGTGGGTTTTGTCTTGTGTAACCAATAGAGGGTGGGCGGCGCAGGAGGTGATCTGGAAGGGGAAAGTGTGATCTACGTGGTACGGTTCTGGCATTGCGGACCTAGGCTAGCTGCCGCTAACCAGCTAGCTAGCTGATATGTCGAGGTCGGCATAGTAGCTACAACACGCACAAAGAGGGTCGCAGCGAGCAGGAAGCACGATCTCTAAGTGCACTGGAGCAAGCGGCGACCTGAAGTGACCTGCAGGCAAAAACCGTCGTAGAGTTCTGAGTGCAGAGGAAGAAAAGCCATCGAAGCTTGAAGACTTTTTACGAACTTGCGCCTACAACTGCCGTACCATCGCCTCAAGCCATCTCGATAGAGCCAACAAGAAGCATCGCTTTGACGTCATCGCCCTTCAGGAGACAAAAACTAAGGAAACAGCCACAAGGAAGACCAACGACGGCCACCTACTTGTTCTAGGAGCCAAAGTGGATGGAAGAAACGTTGGCGGCGTCGGATTCCTCGTCCACCAACGGATTGAGCACTTGGTCGACTCAACCGAGGTATTCGGCCCGCGACTGGCCGTTCTCCGCCTACGCATCGACAAGCGCACCTCTATCAGCATTATTAACTGTTACGCGCCAACGTCAGCTGCAACGGATGGAGAAAAAGACACGTTTTATAAGGAGCTGGAGGAGGCTACGAAGAAGGAGCGTTCGTACTACAAGTACGTTGTTGGAGACTTCAACGCAGTCATCCACGAGGAAAAGCCGGCGACAGCGCGCATGGACCACACGGAACCGGAGATACAAACAAAAACGGAGAACCTTGGTGGTTTTTCTGAAGCAATACAACCTCTTCCGCGGAAGCTTCTTCATGAAAAACGTGAGTCGAATGTGGACATGCGAGAGCCTTAACGCAGCAGCTCACAGCAAAATCGATAATATGCTCACCAACAGAAAGTGGAGTTTGCTGGATGTCAGTGTGGTAGATGCATTCCGCACCGGAAGCCGACACAGGTCTCGGGACCGGGCTAAGTTGGCCTTCCGAGCGAATCCGGTGAGCCAGACCACTATCGACCTACACCTACGGACTGTCGCCGTGCAATAAATCGCCAGGAGGTGGCGCTGCTCACTGGACGCGTGGCAAGCAGGACATATCGCCTTGTCCAGGGACCGACTTGACTTGGTAGAAGGCCTCTCACTGCCGCCAAACGGCATCGGTTGTTTCAGAATGAACTCGAAACGCAAATCGAATTAACAATGCTCGTGCACTCCTTTAACAACGGGATGCCGTCCACCGCAACTCTGATCCACACAACTGGAACGTGCTACGATAAACAAAGCGTGCCGCGAGGATGTGAAGTAGTCGATTCAGCGATACAAAGGTACCGAGTCTAACTAACTACGGGTCGACTGACATTGATCGCAAGAGGGAAACGTTTCGAGTAAATATCTGATTACTAAAACAATTTTAAAGCGTACCAGGTTTACTCCGCTCCCTATCGCGCGCATCACAGGGTAGGGAGAAACCAAGTAACCCCATCAGAATTTAAGGCTTTTGTGTTGCTGGCGTTCGGTGTTTTTAGTTGCCATTGTGGGTGTCTATCACATCACCATTCAGGGTTAGACTCATACTTCAACAATGAATATTGACCATTACTCTTTAGAACGGGCTCTTACGTTCGTATCTTTATCACCTCCCATCTATACCTCCTCTCCGGCGCATGACAGCGCCATGTTTTCCCACCCTTTCCCCTCTTTCCCTTCCCTCCCTCTTTCTCTCTCCCCCTTCCTTCCAGCCTCCCCTTTCTTCTACCCTTCCCTTTACCCCCCCCCCAACCCTCCCTCATCATCCGGCTGCACGCAGCCACTATGATATATGAGTGGAGTGTGCTCTCGATCGATGATTCATTTATATAGCCGCTGTGGTGTTATCATGATCATGACATCAACATCACGAAGTGTTGCCCTTCGTACTCCCTGGTTTTGTGAGCGGTTGGTCCGGACGGACAGAACGACACACGCACACACACGCACACGACAAACCGACACACCAAAGTTCTGGTTTATATAATGAAGTGATTAGAGTCTCGAATGCCAAGAAACACTAAAAATCTACTTTCTCTGAACTCCTTTTGAAAATGTGCTGACATTTTGAGCCCTTGAATCTCCATTGGTAGCATCTGAAGCCATTTCGCCCCCAAAAAAACGAGGGGCTGGATACCTTGGTACGGTGTATTTCTGTCTAGTTTGGGGCCTACTAGAGAGAACACGTTGGTGCGCCCACGGAGTAGCCGGAACACCCAGTAATTGCTTGGCTTCAGCTTCAATTCACCTTGAAGCGATTTGAAGCAGAAGACAATGTAATTGAAGACACGTCTGTATAGTAGGATCTTGAAATTAAAACGCTGTAGACGTTTTCTATAATCTGGCATGCAGAGCGGGTACGCTGGGTTTAGGCAGCACCCACGGGGGGGGGGGGGGGGGGGGGGGGGGGGGGGGGGGGGGGGGGGGGGGGGGGGGGGGGGGGGGGGGGGGGGGGGGGGGGGGGGGGGGGGGGGGGGGGGGGGGGGGGGGGGGGGGGGGGGGGGGGGGGGGGGGGGGGGGGGGGGAAAAGACCTTTGCCCATGGCGCACATCATCGAATTTTTCGTCGCACAGATGTGCGTGTTAATGATATTTCACGGCAGAAATATTCCAAAGATGTTCCCACCGTAAACAGAAGCAGGCCCTCCTTCACTGTCCCTGCCGTCTTCAGAATATGACGTCATCTGCCGCCACCGTCGAGCTCAACGAGGCTTACCGTAATCGCTCCGACCTGAAGCTGCTTCACAATTTCTTCAGTGGATCAAACTGGTTGAATAGCTTCCCAGTGATATTAGCTGTGAACCGCCCTTGACCAGCATTCCAGGGACGTCGTAATGGTCTATGAAACCTCGACGACCTCGATGAGCTCGTATTGCGAACCGTGTTTCCGTTTGATTTGGGAAAATCTTGTAATGCCGTCGGAGTAGGAGGCTGTCATGTAAAGTTTAGATAGATTAGAAGGTGCTTTAAATACTAAGTCGGGGCCAGTCGATTCGATTCTAGCAAAGTGGAACTAATGCTGTCTGAAATGTGGACTCAAGTATCTTTTTTTTGCCACCCCTGCACAACAGTATTTTCGTGAAGGTTTGTTGAACCTTCTCGATTCTAACTTGGAGTTTTCTGGTATACGGACTCCAAATTTGTAACCCGTATGCCAAGATCGACATTACTTATGTATTGTAAAGTTTTAAGAAAGTGAAACATCGTTATAACGAATATTCCTGAAGATGGTAGAAAGGGCTTTGAGAGCCTTTTGTACAACTCCCCTAAGGTGAGGCTCAAAATCAAAAAAAATCAAAAAATCAAAGAATTGGTGAATACTAGTGAGTGAAGTGAATGAATACTAGTGAGTACTTTCTCTCGTATCGTCGTCATAATTACCATAGACCTTTATATCATCAGCGCAAACTCGAACTTTAATCGAAGGATGTGTAGTCAGATAGCTAGGCAAATCATGGGTAGCGCTGGAGCACACAGTCAAAGGCAAAAAAAATCTCAGGGCCACAGGCTCAGATTGAAAAAAGGCGAAGGTGAGCCACTTCATTACTTGCACTTACAGCTTTAGAAGTGCCACTCAGCTTCCAACCTGATTGAAGAAACGCAGCGGATTTCGTATCGATTGGACTGATTGAGACTAAGCCATAAGAATCCTTAACACGCACGCATCCTCACAAAAAATATAACGAGCCTCACGTTCTACCAGTCATCGCTTAAAGCAACAATCCAGGAACGAATTCGTGGGTAAGGACCACCTATAATGACGTTGCAGGTGAGAAGTTGGTCAATGGAGATAGAAAAAGTAGAAAAAAACGTCGGGCAGGGGCTCCGACGCTTGACGTGTGGAATTTTCCCTTCCTGCTCCGTTCTGCGTCATTATTGTTTCTTTTCTGTCTGCGATTATTGAGTAGCCACTCGCATTCTTGCCTTGGCAAATAGCTTAATTTAATTTAACGTAGTTTTGCCGTAGCAATCAATTTGTTTAGCCGGCGACCCGCGGGGTTAGAGTGTTCGGGCGGCTTTCACTGTGGAATCGACCTGATACAGCGCGCGGCGGTCCCGCAACGACCGCTATTCGAGCAAGCGCTCTTCACAGCAGCAAGGAGGCGGGTCAACCGAGGCTCGGTTGACCCGCCCTTTTCGACGAACTTCGAGCCCTTCTCACGCATTTCAGAGGTGAGTTTTTACTTCAGTGACAGTTCCTTTCGACTTCACTTGGGCTGGGGCATGCTTCCACACCTCAGCTTTGGATTAGTTGAAACCCTCCCTGGACTGTTGCTTTAAGAGTAGCGTTGACAAAGGATATCACCATCTCTATCATTTAGGTTTACGCTCCCATGTGAGATAGCAGCCAAAAACATGAGGAAGTTTATGACGAGCTTGCCGAACTGACTCGATCTCAAAAGAGCAATTACGAAGTGGTGTCTGGAGAATTCAACGCAAAATTTGGATCTCAAAGACATGAGGAACGTTTCATCTGCCTAAACAGTGCAGAACCCCGGATTGCTGATTGGCGAGGGCTTTTTGGGGGGCCCCATGGGCCGGGGAAATATTGCACTGTATCATGGGAAACACCCATTTCAAAAAGGCAACAAAGAGATGGGTCTCTGAGACGCTGGAAAACTATAAACAGCTGGACAATGTTCTTCGCAACGGGAGAGCTATTACAGATGTCGGTGTAGTTCCATCGTTTACCATTGGAAGCGACCACCTTTTTTTTTCGTGCTAAACTGCCCTTCGACCGGCAATCTTGCACGTCTGACCCTGATTCGATCTAAGCACCCCCGAACAACAATTTTTAATGCAGAAGCAAAGCAAGTGATGACGAACGATATATATGGAAATGACAGACAACATAAACAACGTCTATTTATTTCTCGTTGAGCATCGTACGACATATGCATCTCATTCTCGCATTGTGGCTCCCAACCACAACTCCAGTCGAATAACAGAAGCCACTGGCAAGCTTGTTCCGCAATGGAGACAAATGGACCGGCATTTAATATTTAATACACAATTTTGAACAGGCTCTGCAGACTAAAACTCACTGAAAATGAGAGACTTCTCGCAAAATCGTTTATTGAACGTTGCAGCTAGCAGACGTAGCCTCAAGAAAGCAAGCAAGTATAGGCACGATACCGACTCACTATTCCTTGCCAAAAGGCCCAGATGAATCAAGAACTACATGAAAACTAGAAACTTGGAAATGGAATTGGAAACGGGGCGAGGAAGTGGGTCTATCGGGGCAGTTTCAATCCAAATACCGCATCTACAGAACAGATGCCTGCTGGAGGAATCGTGTTGTCATTCTCGCGTCCGATGTTCGCAATTGAAACGATGCCGAAGGGGAAGTCTCCGGGAGTCGATGGATTGTCCATAGAGGCTTTGCAAGCTCGCGGCTACAATTTTTACTCGCCCTAGCTGAGGGATTCACTCGATATGTCAGTGGATGTGACGTACCTGAAGCATGGAAGAAATCCATGACAATTCTGCTGTTCAAAAAGGAGATAAGGAGGACTTGGATATTCGACCATTGATGCCTCCCCGGCGTGTTGTATTGGGTTGATCCATAATTTCTGGCCGATTTTGGTTCAAATTCAATTTTCAATATGTCAAATTAACTTCATATCGAAATAAGTTGATATGTTGAAGAACACATCAGGACCTTCAGCCAGGATGTTTCAGAAGCTCAAATGCGCAAAGGGATAATCAAGCATTAATCAACATAGATCAACCACCAAACTCCAACCATTATGCCTTACGACAATTTTAAGAAGAACCCTGCAAGGAGCGCGGTAGGCACGATCAGCGCTCATTTGTCCTTATCGTTTTTTTTCTTACTGATAGAGCACTGAGCTATTGGCTCAATAGCATCGGCAAGTAATATAGGAGCTGCAAAGTTTGACCACATCATGGATCTCAGTCACTATGGATGAGGAACCTTGCGCAACGAATACGAAGTGCATCCTGACGCTATTAGCAGAGAAATATAGCAAACGCCTGGACGCAGCCTGCGCTCATTGCATTATCGTGCCATAATTTTTCATTGACTGAATTTACCCTTTGACGACGCGGAGCTCGGCCAACGTGGTGGAGCTGTTATACGCAGAGTTCAGCTGTAACTGTATATCCCACAATCAGCATTCCATGGTACACCGTTGCTATACGCGTTACAACGAAACAAGACTTTGTTTCCGTGGATGTCTGGTTTCGAAGTCACTCTCAACTGTCCATCAGCCGCACACAGTCGTCTTCGCGTTGTAATTGGGAAACATCCCCTTGTAAAATGGTCAACATGAAGTCAAGAACCTTTTTCCTCATGCGCTCATTGCATTATCGTGCCATAATTTTTCATTGACTGAATTTACCCTTTGACGACGCGGAGCTCGGCCCCGTGGTGGAGCTGTTATACGCAGAGTTCGGCTGTAACTGTATCCCACAGTCAGCATTCCGTGGTACACCGTTGCTATACTGTATTACCATATGATAACATGACTTTGTTTCCGTGGATTTCTGCCGTTTCGAAGTCACTCTCAGCTGTCCATCAGCCGCCAACCACAGTCGTCTTCGCGTTGTCATTGGGAAACATCCCTTCGTAAAATGGTCAACATGAAGTCGAGAACCTTTCTCCTCTTAAAGTTATGGAGCGAAGTTTCAGTACTGGCACTCAGCACCTGCTTGCTCATGTCGCTCAGAATAGGCCAAACTCATTTTCTGTCCTGAAAGGACTTAACAGTCGCACGCAGCAATTTTCACTTTTCTAAATCTCAACGCAAGTTTTGTGCGGTTTGTCGAGGTCTCATTCGTTGGCTTTCTTTATTTCTGAGTTCATCTAGGAGCTCCACGGATCTCTTTCACTGAGGGTCCTCTCTCACTGAAAGATCTCGAGCCGGTTGGTGGCGAGGCTACGTTGCTCGACCCCAGGTAGCAATAGGGGGTAAATCGCGGACCAAAAGCCACCATGTACTTGCCCTGAGACGCAGGTGGATTTAGGGGATGGACTCCCTGTTTCTGTAGTGCTGTGTCAATTCATACCAGCTTCTCCATACAGGTGTATCCATGCATGCTTGCGTGTGTGGTGCGCTCTGTGTGTGTGCGGTTGGTATCCTGCATGTCGGCACAGCCAAAAGCTTGCATTCAAGTGACTGGGAAGTACATGGGAGGCGATTCGGGGCCGCTCTCAAAAGATAGCCCTTGTTAGCTCAGTGATAGCGTGGCTAACTTGCCTTGAAGACTCGTTCTATCCTAGGCCCACGACAGAGCTGCCAATGCTCTCGCTAGGAGGCTACAGATGTGTGCCTTCAATATGCCGACAGCAATATGGATGGGCCTCATTCCCCTGAACCTGAGGGAGCCCAATACGGCAGCGTTGGGTAGGACCGCTCGGGAGAGGCTGCTAGAATCTCAGGGCCCGGATAGGCTGCCTAAACGAAGAAGGACTAAGATGGCGATCTGTACTTTCAACGCACGAACGCTTGCATCCGAAGCTCACATCGAAGATCTGATGATGCAAGCCAGGAAGATCAAGTACGACGTCATCGGACTGACCGAGACGAGAAGGCACCGCCCGCTACACGCCGTTTTCGATACTGGAGAAGAACTGTTCCTTGGAACATGCGACAGCAGAGGCGTTGGCGGTGTGGGTGTCCTCGTCAACACGCACTTGGCCATAAACATCGATTCGTACGAAAGCCTTACGACCCGAATCGGACGTTTGAGATTGAGAAGATGTGGTTCAACTCCTGCTTTGACAATCTTCGTCGCCTACGCACCAACATCGAGCTACGACGAGGAGGAACACGAAGCATTTTATATGGAATTGGAGAAGTTCTACAAGGAAGATCATACCTTCTTCAAGGTCATCGTCGGCGACTTCAACGCCAAGATTGGCCCGAGAAGAACGGCTGAAGAACTTCACATCGGTACTCACGGAATGGATTGGAATGAGCAGGGCGAAAGACTGTCTGAGTTTATCATGTCGACCAACACCATCCATGGTAACTCGCAGTTCCAGAAGCCCTCTCACCTTCGTTGGACTTGGGAGTCACCTGATGGACAGTTCCATAACGAGATAGACCACATCATCTTCAATCGAAGGTTTTGCCTGACCGACGTCGCTGTTGTTCCGAAGTTCTACACGGGATCGGACCATCGTCTCCTCCGCGCAAAGTTCCACTTTTCGATGCGTGTTGAGAGAGCCTCGAAGTTCAGGAAGCGAAGCCCCAGGACAGTCATCAACTGGGATCACTTCTTCTCTTGTCAGCTTGGGAGGATTCCGTCATCGAAAACATCGACGAGGAGTACTATCGGCTCGTTGAACATCTTCACGATTGTGGCAAGAAGGCAGAGAGAGTTTGAAAGTCACCAAGGGACGTCTGTCTCGGAACTCTCGAACTGATACGCCAGCGTGGAGCCGCACGAGCTGCAGGCAATCACCGACTCACGTCCGAGCTTGCGAAGCTATGCAGAGAGGCGATAAAGGAAGATCTCAAGGAGCGAAGAGCAGCAGAGGCTTAGCTGAGGAGCATCCGCAATGCCCGCCGAAGCTTTGGCAACCACACCACCTTCGTTTTGCTGACGACATCGTTCTTATAACGCGAACATCGAGCAAGCGGAGCGAATGCTGGCTGATTTCGACTGCGCCTGTGGTAAGGTTGGTCTACAGCTGAACCTAACGAAGACGATGTTTATGAGAAACGGATTGGTTCCTGATGCCCCATTCACGCTCAACGGAACGAACATCACCGAATGCTCCAGCTACGTGTACCTAGGTCGGGAAATCAATATGATGAACGATCTAGCTCCAGAGCTGAGCAGGAGGAAACGAGCGGCTTGGGGAGCGTACAAGAACATCGAGGGAGTAGTGAAGAAGACGAAGAACATCCGGCTCCGTGCCCACCTCTTCGATTCCGCTGTCCTTCCTGCCCTAACCTACGCCTCAGAGACTTGGACTCTGCGCAGGCAGGACGAGCATGCGGTCAGCGTTATCCAACGCGCTGTCGAGAGGACGATGCTAGGAGTAACCCTATACACGCAAGTGCAGAGGGGAATCCGGAGTGCCGAACTACGCCAACGATCGAAGATCAGGGACGCTGCCGTTTTCGCCAAGGAATCGAAGATAAGGTGGGCCGGACACGTCATGCGATTTTGCGATGACCGTTGGACCAGAGCGGTTACCGACTGGATCCCTCGGGACGTCAAACGAACACCTGGACGACCGCCGGCCCGATGGTCAGACTTCTTCACGAAAGCTCTGAACGAAAGGAATGAAGGACATCGTGTCCCTCGAGCGAGGAGGGTCCACTGGACAACTCTTGCACGCGACAGGGACGAATGGAGACGTTGCTGGCGCCCGCTCGAGCATCCGGGATGCCTCAATGGCGCGGGAGGTGCGTTACAGGTGATACATCTAGGAGCTAGAGGAGCGCAAACCTGTCTTCGTCTTTCATTCTGCAGACTATTCTCTTTCGAATGGTGTATTAAGCCATGTAAAAGCATGGGATTCAAATGAAAATTTTGTGGTTGAAAAAAAGCGACATTATTTATGAGAACCTAACAGTTTCAACAATAATCGCTTGGCTAATGTTGAAACTGAGCATAGATAGCCGCCTTGAAGAAAAATGTCAAAAGCAGTTTTACTTTTCGAACAATATAATAGCTTCATCTACGGAAACTCGACTCTCTTCCGGTGGTAAACCGCAATAGTTAGTTTTGTATGTCTCTGACTATTTAGACTATGGATGCCTGGATAGTATCAATCTACGTATATCCCAACGAATGCCTGGTCGGCGTACAGGATATTAAGAGCACGCAAACCATTCCACGCCTTTACAGACCTGAGAGGGTTCGCTTTGTTACAGCCAGTCATCGTAGATCCCTCGGGAAAGATGACACTCAGCGAGACAGATCCGCAGCATACATGCACAGCCCGCAGGCTTACTGACCGTCGGAGCACAAACGCTTGAGTAGTCTACTTGGGATTAAAATCGCGGATAGAATTTAGCAACCAGTAACCATAATAGCTCCTATAGGAGGCAATCAGGCTGAACGCATAAATGTACGAATTAGTCCATTTCGGTCTTCTTGAAACCTTGGCATGTAGAGAATATTGTTTGTTTTTCTTCTGCTTGTATTTGCTTACTGGTTGTTACGATGGGAACTATTACTCGGTCGACGTTTCGAACAACTGGTCTTAGCTTTTATATTGTTTTACTAGAGCTGGGGCTGGCTGCTGTTGTGTACTGTGGGCCTTGCTACAGCTAGACTTCAACGATTCGTGGTCCTTGAGACGCGGTGTTGAAATGTCGACGAATAAGATATTGGCCGGAACAGACCGGTTATGGGCAGAAGAAAAACAACAGTACGAATTAGTGTTTATACACAAGCAGTTTTTGAGTGAGTAGTGAGCGATCGCTGCCTTGTTTACGGCATTGCAGACACAGCGCAGAGTAATGTTGGGCCATAACAATGGTGGTGAGCGTGGAAGCGTGGAACACTCTCAGTAGTTGTACTTCATTCGTATTTTTAGATGTTCTCCGTGGTCACTGGTATCCTTACAGCTATTAATGTTGCGAGTGCCATTAAAATAGAGGTGAGTATTTAATAATCTATCTATTCACTGGTTTGTTAGCAATTGTAGAAGTTTTTCTCTGACGATCTTTGTTGATGAGGGTTCCCTCTCCAGAGACTGCAGTAGTGAACTAGCCAGTACTAGCAACACAATGTACAGGGTTTCCAAATTACAGTGACAAGGTAAAGCGTTGGAAATTGACGCTGTCAAGAAGCGGAATGGATAGCAGATATATGTATTCAAGCTCACTTGAACCAAAACAAAATTTCTTTTTAAAGTGGTCACCGTCTGCATTGGCACAGAAGCGAACACTTTAGAGGAACTCAGTAACCATGGCTTGTCCGCCTGCGTTTTAACCATAAAATCACCATGAAACTCAACATGTGGACAGCTGGGTCTTTTTTGGCCATCACTAAAGTTCTTTGCTAGAAATAACCTTTTTTAAGCAGTCCAGTTCGGCAAGCGTCTTTTTTGCTAAACTTTTTTCTATCACTCTCTTCTTTGTACTTCTTGTGTTATTACCATGAATATCAGCACTGCGATGCAACATTCACAATTAAGACGATGTCAAGAATGTGACTAGAGCCTGTTAGGCAGATGAGGAAAAAACATACGTCACAAAACAGAAGGTTGCGATCGCCGAATTGTATCGCTGACCTTCATAAACTCATGTAAAAATACTATTTATATCCACAGAAACAATATGAATGCCTACTTATCACGATCTCGGTTGTTCTACTTGGTGTTGCTGTGGTAGCCAAAGAGCAGTGAAGGGAGGAGGTGCCAAGGAAAGGAAGCGGAAAACTATTTTTTCACGGACAGCAAAGAATTGAGTATTGAAAATCATTATGGCATCATGCCATGATTTATATGAGGACCTCTACAATACGCAACACCGTTTTGCGCTTACGCCACTTCCGAGTGGTTTTGGTGCCACAAGTGGAAGGAAGCCCAGCGGAAAGCGCAAGCCTTTAGCAGGGAAGGGAGGTTCTAGCGGTTGCTGGAGGACCATCTGGTTGTCTGGAATAAACCCTTATATCCGCGAAGCGCCGCATTAAAGGCATGCCCCAGGATCGCACTGGTGTGGCTCTTGCACACGAATGTGAATGTATCGGTGCCAAGTGGGCCGGCAGTGAAGAAAAAAGGAAAAGAATCCGTCGAAAACGCTCAGGTTGAGGGCTCACACCTTCCTAATTGGCTGTGCTAAAGGAACGAGAGACTAAGCGCGAAGAGGAGAGTATGGGGCGAGAGAGCGCATCAGATGAGAGAGCACCAGACAACGGCCTGATAAGAGAGCTCGTTCGCTGCAGCTCGAGCAGCTTACTTTGCAAGCCCAAAGCGTTCTTGTCGGTCGAATTCCGTGCACGTGAACGCCACATTTGTGATTGTCCCCTAGGGTTCTATACTTCTGACCGAAGATCTGATCTTCACACGACGACTGCTGGGTTGTGCCTTTAATCACTTTAATCAATTTGATTGGCTTTGCGGTGAGATTGTGACGACTCTTTTTCAAGTTGTCCAATTTTTCTCTAATTTCAACTTTGAAAAGTCGTGACTCCTGATGACCAGTATGTATTATAACCTTTTTGCTGCTTTCGTGAAAATATCGCCGCTTCTTTTCACCTCCTTCCAATTTCTACTTTTCGGCACAAGAACTTTCAAGTGTGAACGAATGTTCCAAGAGGGGTACTTTTCATAGACCTCTTCTCGACCATCAGTAATCAGGGCGTCCTCAAGCAATACGCACCAAAAAATTACCCCATAACTGTACTATGCAGAAGTTTTTCTTGACAAACAAACCTATCACCTTATCACCTGTCGTCCCGTTGAACGCCGATTTGTTCGAGCGGGCTCCAGGAACGCCTCCATGCGTCCCTGCCGCGTGCAAGAGTGGTCCAGTGGATCCTCCTCGCTCGAGGACACAAACCTTTTATTCCTTCCGATTTGATTTGATTTATTACATGACGAGAACGCTCAGTATACTATCTCAGTTAGTGGAGAAAACGGGGATTCAAGCAAAGTGGACAGCAAAGCCCCAAGACGAACTCGATTTACAAACAGGTAAACTTGGACAGGCAATCCAAGCACAGAACTCGTTAAAACACATGCAATAAAAACAGAAATCCAAATCTAAAAATGAACTAAGGAATGAAGAGTATGGAGATGACAACACAAATTGGAATCACATGGAAGAGTTAAGAGGAAGAGTGGAATGTAAGCAAATCATGAACAATTTTTTTTGTCAGAAAGGGGTAGCTCCCAATTCTTGGACCACTCATTAACAATATCGATTGCTTTTTGAAGCACAATTGAATCGGCTTCGTTTTCAATAACCTTATAGATCTTGAGATCATCTGCAAATATCTTACACTCAACTCCGATCTGAGTCACTGAGGAACTAAGCTCATATATATTGTAATTGTAAATATCGAATAGCAACGGTGATAGAACTCTGCCCTGCGGAACACCACTGTGAACTTTTCGTTCACTTGAATATGACTCACCAGTTTAGCTCCGCACACTACCGCGTGCATGACACGGAAGGGCTCCGTAAAGCTGGCCAGCCGGAGGAGCGTTAGGTTCGCCGCTAAACAATAACTCGCTTCGTGAAATGCCTTAGCTGGCCATTCTCGTGTATAGATTAGATCAATCGTGAAGGCGAGTGGGCGATTGGGCGATCAGCCATTGGGCGGAGCAACAAATCAATACGTACCCTTCTCTTATCGCCTACTCGCCTACTCGCCTAATCGATTACTTTTCATTTTGAATCATCGCCTAATCGCATGTACGATCGCCAACAGTGAACGCTCCATAAAGTGGTGCCTGTAAACAATCACCATGCAGTGGATATCAGGATGATTTAGCGGTCGAATAATATTGATGCAATGATTTTGAAATAGAAATACCCATTATCGTATATCGCTAAACGTCCATCATACATTCTTAGGGACTTGGGGAGTGTAGCGGTCGAATTTTATGTTGATGATGAAATGAGATGATATTGGAATGAAATGCGTTATCTACAATAGGATTATGAGTGATTTCTATGTTCCTACGCATATTGTAATTATCGGTCCTTATCGGCCCTTATCACTTTCTGTCCCCACCAAACATGTTCCCGTCCCACCCCTATATCATATCCGAGGGACAGCGCCTCAATGCTGCTGCGTCGCGCACTATGGATTTCGTGACACCTTGCGTTTTACGCCTCTTATCGGATCTTATCAGCTGTTATCACCTTTGGTCCTCCGCCAATCCTGTTCCCGGCCCGCTCCTATATCACATCTATTAGGATGGTAAGAAAGTCCTGAGCCGTTTGACACTTTTTTTGCTTTACTTTTTTATTCCGCGTACAATGGAATCTACTCAACAATATAATCACCATTGTTACTCACTACAGAGTCCCACCTAATGGGCAGGTCAGCGACCCCCTTCTCCCAGAACTGAGCAGACTGAGAGTCAAAGAAATCGCTGACCGCTCTTTCAACGTCTTCAACTTTGGTGAATTTTTTCTTCGCTAGGAATGCCTTGAGGGGATGAAATAAGTGATAATCAGAGAGGGCAATGTCAGGGGAATAGGGTGGGTGGGGAACCGCGTCCCAGATCAGCTCTTCCAATTTTGCACGGGTCTCTTTAGCTATGTGGGGCCTGGCGTCATCGTGGAGTAGGTGGACAGAAGTTCGTCTCGGTCGTTTTTCTCGAACAGCGTCCGCTAGTTTCTGGAGCTGACTGGCGTAAATGCTGCCGGTAGCGGTATGCCCTTGCGGGAGCAGCTCATAATACAACATTCCTCGCGAAATCCCAGAGGCGTGTCGGCGGGTCTTCTCCTCGAGGGAGCCACACGGCACTGTGCTTGTTAGAATCGTAGAGGACCCAACTCTCATCTCTCGTAATCATGCCTTCCAAAAACTCCTTTCGGTGCGGACAAAGAAGGAGAAACTGACAAATGGGTACCCGCCTGAACCGCGTGCTATCGGTCAAGACATGAGGGATCCATCGAGTCGGCACTTTCCTGTGGCGAGGGCGTGGAGGGGACCGAGGACTGTGGGATGGGTGCACCCGAGTCTTATCACAAGGCTGCGGGTGCTAACCTCCGGATCCTCTTCGACAGCGCCGAGAACGGTGGAGTCTTCCACTGTTTGGGGGCTTCCCAACCTTGACTTGTTTTCGGAAGCCGTGTCTCCTCCTTCGAAGCCTGCGAACCAGAGCTTGGCACTGATGATGGAAGTGGTGTCCCTTCCCAATGCGATGCTGATAATGTTGACGGTTTCCACTGCTCCTGTGCCGCAGCGCCATTCATTGAAGATGATCGCTCGAAAGTGCTCTTGTGGAATCGACATCATGATTAAAGTTAAAGAAGGCAACCCGGCAATATATACCTACTGCGGAGAAGTATGATCGACAGCGATAATCTATCACGTAGCAGATTCTAGGTATCGATCAATAAGCGAAAGTTCTGGAGCTTTCAAAAATCGGCTCAGGACTTTCTTACCATCCCAAGTAAAAGACAGCTTCTCACTACTGCTGGCCTGCGCGCTATGAATCTCGTAACCCTTGCGTTCTAGCGGCACTTATCGAATCTTGTCAGCTGTTATCACTTTCAAACTCTTGCCAAATATTAAGTTGTCCCATAATTCCTGTCCGAATTTCGACAATTTTTTATCGAGTTTTATCTTTCTCTAAAACCAATTGATCAAAAATATAACCATTATCATAATCACCGATATGCATCCATTCGCCAGGGAACCTTTGGATGCTTTCCTCCTAGAATGGGTGAAGCTATGAGCTGAAGAATTCAGCAAGGTCGTTTTTGGAGTGGTTGTATTTAGTGACTTTTTCTCTCGCCGCTGCTGCTCAAGGCACTGTGAAGGGGAGCCCGATGGAGTGATGCCAGGGCTATACGATGGACATGGTATCGTGGTCCAGCCAGTTTCCCTCAGAACGTAGCGAGTTATCTTTGCAATGTGAGGTCGAGCGTCTATTCGGAGAAAGGGGATTTTGGGACGTTTAGGACGGTTTCTCCCACTACTGCGGCCAACCCCGGGAGCTGTTCCACGATGGCATTCGCAATACTTGTCCGCATATAGCAAAACAACTGTGAAAGCGGAAGACCCACTCAATCTAACAAATCAAAAGCAATATTCTCTGACCACGGAGTTTGGGCTTTTGTTGAGCTGGTGAGCCCTGGCTGCGAGGTAGCCATCAGGCGTGCTGCGTGTTGTTGTCGTAGTGAACTCATGACTCATCCCACTAGTGATCAACTAGGGAACGCTCTGCTAATGAGGTCACAGAATGAAATTCCCCAGAGGGTCAGACCTGCTTCTCGGTCATGGCTGGTCGGTGCATATGGTTTCCATCAAGTCTTCATTCTGCTGCCGCCCACTTCATCCTGATGGCGTGTGCTGGTGCATCGGCTGCGCCCAGGTGTCTGCTACAATACCCTGGTAGTAGCGTCCGTGTGCACTTCCAATCCATGGCGCAAGGGGTCCTCATCGAAAGTGAGTGGAGGCCCAGGATGAGGCTGATTTTCACAGTATTGTCTTTGCCATTGCGACCGAACCTCTAGCTCAGTGACCGATCAGTAGCAGAGACTGAGCCAAACACAGCGCTGATCTTCTCTAGTGTCCTCCTTGCAACAGCGTCTATTTGAGGATCATAAAGCATAATCGTTCGTTATTGCTCATTGATCTATTTCGACTTCTACTCAGTTATTCCGATGCGGGTTTGACCTTCCAAAATGTCCTGGCTAACGGTCTAGATGCACTCTTTGACATACCAACATATTTCGCAATGACACTAATTCGACTTGAAGAAATTTGAATTTGATCAAATCAAAAATCGGACAGGAATTATGGGACAACCCAATATGTTCCCGGCCCGCCCCCTATATCATACTTGAAAGATTGCACTCCATGACTGCTGGGAAGCGCACTATGAATTTCGTGAAATTTGCGTTTCAGCGCCTCTTATCAGCTCTTATCAGTCGTTATCACTTTTGTCCCCACCAAATATGTTCTCCGTCCAGCCTCTACTGCATAAATAAAATACGGCGCTCCATAGGCGCAGCGAAGCGATTTCGTGAAATTTGCGTTTCAGCGCCTCTTATCTGCTCTTATCAGTCGTTATCACTTTGTGACCCCCACCAAATATGTTCCCGTCCCACCCCCTATATCATATCAAAAAATCAGCTCCTGACGACTGCTGCGACGCGTGCTATGAATTTCGTGACACACACACACACACAGACAGACAGACAGACAGACAGACTTAGCGCTTTATATATAGTAGGGATTGATACGAACATAAAATGCACGATTAGTGAGGAATTCCTTCAACCATTCCGAAAGCAATTTCTTTATCCCAACCATTTCAAGTTTGAGGGATAACTTACTGTGAGGAACTTTATCGAAATGCTTTCATAAAGTCAAAATAGATTATGTGTACCTCTTTCTTAGCATCAAGTGCTAGGGTCCAGTCATTGAGAGCTTCAAGTAATTGTGTCACCGTGGACTTATGTTTAACAAAACCATGCTGGTTAGGGCTAATTATCCCATGTTTGTCTAGGTGCCCCGAAATTTTTTTTAAACGTGTTCAACCAATCTGGAGGTGATGTGGGTCTCTAGTTACTACAACATCATGAGGCTGTTTTTTGACATATGAGTGCTTCCAAAGGCGGGGGACTTCACTTCTAATAACGGATAAAATTCATGATTTATTTCAAAGGACTAACAATTAATCTGCCACACGTTTCAAAAGTACAAAGGTACTCCATCAGGAGTAAGAGAGCTGGAATTTGGCTATTTACGAATATAATCAAGGATTTCTTAATCTTGAAACCAAAGACACTGATCCAAGACAGGGAATAGGGACCTTGAGGTGAAGGTGGCACTTTGAGATGGGGCCTTGGATGAAATAGAGAATACACATGCAAAATAATCAGCTAACAATTCGGCTTTATTCTGGTCTGTGTATGCTATCCTACCCTCCCCGTATTTGAGGGCAGAGACATGATTCTGAGTTTTGAGTTTGGCCGAGAGCATCTTAAAAGCCACTCTTATTACCAGATAGAATTACCTTCTTTTCAGAGAGGAGTTACTTGTTGAGCATTTTGTTAAAGCGATCTCTCATCGACACAAATAAGAATCCACGTCTTCATGCTTTTTTGTATTGACAGCTTTGGTCCAAGCCTTAGAGCAAGCCAATTTGGATAGCCGCAACAGATGAGGAGGATAGGATAACAAAGGTTGATGCACCTCAACCATTGGCACAAAATTATTAATAGCTTACCTAAGCACGAAAATGAAAAGTTCATACATTTGATTGACATCGGAGCAGCAGTTGAACGAGCCAAACCAATCGACATCCGCAAGGTAATTACAGATTTTGTTGTAATCTGCCTTGGTGAATTTTCTTTGGATGACGGGCTCATGCTCAGGTCTAGGAATGTCAGTGTTGAGACTAATTATCGCGTGGTCACTAGAACCAACTGGAGAATTCGTGGCCACTTCACTGATAAGGACGACCTTGTTGCGAACAATAAATTCAAAGTGTGACTTCCACGGGTAGGATTTGGGAATAGTTGCACCAAGTTATAATTTTTACATAGTTGCAAAATAGTTCCATTGAGACTAGTGACATTGTTGATCCCATTGCTAGCCCAGTCAAGCCGAGTAGCCCCTTCATTGTGATGGAAGATTCCATTGCAATGAAAGGGTAAGAACAAATTGAAAGATCGGTTATATGTAGCTTCGAAGAGCAGCAGAGTTTTAATTTGAGAACAAAACGGGGCCCTATATAGTGCAACAATCGTAACTCGGGAAAAATAAAATCACAACACAGCAATTCATAGGAATCTTTGATAACTTCTTTGATGACAATGTGGTAAGATAAGGTTTTCCTGACCAGAAATGCTACGCCACTCCAGGCTTTTCGTGGCCTATCACAACGTACCAAAGTGTACTCGTGTCCCAAAATGCCAAGATATGTGAACTATCATGAACAGGCTTGAGCCATGTTTCGGTTAGTGCTGCGAGGTCATAGCAAAAGTTCGATAGAAGAAAAACGAGAGAGGAAGAGTTCTTGGGGAGTGACCTAATGTTGCTTAGGAAACATTTGAAACTAATCGCCCAACTCCGCGGAGTTACTATGCGTTTAAAGCGCGGGTATTACAACCAGACAAATCACACTCCGACATCATAGACCTATCTAAAACAGAAGCGGGAGAAACAGTTTGATTTGCATCTGCGATTGGGACATTCACACATTTAACGGTCTACCGGGGTTTTCCTTAGACACTTATTTGGGAGCTGGAAGCTCTTCCTCACTGTCTTAGGCAGAGAAGGCCGTATATATGTACCCCTTAGAACTGTGAAAATTTGGGTTTATAGGGCACGGCGAAGGGCTTCGTCTCTAAACTTTGTGCTAGGAAGGACTACTTTCAAGAGACGAGGTCTATGAGAAGATGGTCTACCCATTCTGTAGACCGACAAAGGAATACATTAGATTTGGAGATGATTGAAGAGCACTCTAATACAATTTCACTCATGAAAAAGACGATCAAAACCAAAAAGTCAGAAGGCTCTGGAACTCCGATAATTACTAGAGATTGAGCAAATCCTTTAGATTAACAAAATGAACTATGAAAACTTTTTAAATGACTAACGGCCTCAGAAATATGGGAAAGAGGATTCACTAGGTCATCAAGAGGTGGGGGTTTGGAAGCCACGCATAATGAATCACGCGAACGATTGCACTATTGTACTATACTTTTCATCGCGCAGTTTATGAATTTCAGCCGATAGCTCCTTGTTTTCAGTAGCTAGTAGTCCAATCTTTTCCTTAGCAGAACGTAATCCACAATTGTTTTCAATTATGGCGGCATCGATTCATTTGACATTAGTTGCCCCACCGCCAACATAAGCACCTTTTCTTGCTTGGAACTCGGGGGGATCCCATATCGACCAGACCTCGTTTGCAGCCCTTAAATTTAGATACAACAGAAAGCAGAGCACTTATAATAAAATCTGGATGAAAGGCACCCAATAAAGAGGCAGAAAAAAGTTCTTCGCTCTCTGACAGGGGAAAGCCCACAAAATTGAAGAATTCGACCAAGGCGATCGATGATGAAAAACAGACTCAATAACTGTTGATCAACGACTGACAACAGAAAACATCATCTCGTTTCATTCACTGCTTTCGTGAAGAAGTCTGACCATCGAGCGAGCAGTGTTCGTTGACGTCCCGAGGAAACAAGTCGGTAACCACTTTGGTCCAACAATTATCGCAAAATCTCATAACGTGTCCGGCCCACCTTATCATCGACTACTTGGCGAAAACGGCAGCGTCCCTCATCTTCGATCATTGGCGTAGTTCCAAACTCCGGATTCCCCTCTGCACTTGCGTGTATAGGATACTCCTAGCATCATCCTCTCGACTAGCGCGTTGGATAACGCTGCGGCATGCTCGTCCTGCCTGCGCAGAGTCCAAGTCTCTGAGGCGTAGGTTAGGGCAGGAAGGGCAGAATCGAAGAGGTGGTTACGGAGCCGAATGTTCTTCGTCTTCTTCACTGCTCCGTCGATGTTCTTCAATGCTCCCCATGCGACTCGTTTCCTTCTGCCCAGCTCTGGAGCTAGGTCGTTCATCATATTGATTTCCCGACCTAGGTACACTTAGCTGGAGCATTCGGCGATGTTCGTTCCGTTGAGCGTGAATGGGGCATCCAAACAAAACTATACCCACATGAATGGCCATGCTCGAAAACCTAGGTTCAGCAATTTTGTTTAAATAATTCTAATAATAATTCGGGCTTTTCCCAACAGGTGGGCATTATTTTGTCTTTACCAAAGTATGAACATTTTGGGTCAAAAAAGAGTACACATAGAGAAGTAGCTTTTCCGAAGAGCTAAGCTGTTGACTGTTTATGAGTACTCTGCACAATATTACAAAATGCCAAGAAGACTCCGTCAGAAGCCGAGCGGGCACAGGTTTGCGCCCTGCACACAGCAGGCCTGAGCAATCGTAAAATCGCTCAACAATTGTGACGTTCTTCAAGACTCGTCGACCGATTTCCGAGTAGCTCAGAATCCTACGGAAGAAGGAAGAAATCTGGGAGGCCGAAAAGGTTGACGCCACAGCAGGAACGTGCGATCGGTCGACTTGTTATCAACTTGACCATCGGCATCAGCGGAGTTCAAGTCGTTTTACCGGACACAGCTTCCAGAATAACAATATGGAGGGCAATTAGGCGCAACAGCAACAATGTACACATCTTTATACAGCTTACTAAAACAAGTTTTCTTGCTTAGGTGATATTTTCTCACGAAAATATTTCAATTAGTACGGTTTGGATGGAAGTGATCTCCACAAGGAACCGAAGTATTTCAGTCGACGTAACTCCTGTGGAAGGAGCGTCATGATTTTGGGTAGGATTCCATCAAAACGGAAAGCTGGAGATCGCCTAAGACCTATGAATATGGAGTTGAGGTACAAGCACAAGGTGCTTCGTCGTCATTTGCTGCCTTTTCTGGCACGTCAGGAAGAAGGAGAATTCGTTTTCGAGCAGCACAACGTGGCAATCCACGCGAGAAAGGTTCACAGGATTACGTTAGAGGAAAGAATTATAATCACGATGGACTGGCCTGCCTGCTCTCCTGATCTTAATACCATAGAAAACCTATGGTTCTTTTATTGAGAGATATTCACCGCCGAAGACTTCTGATAGCGTAGCAGTCTCCAGAATTGCGAATAGTCAGTCATGGAATTGTATGGATGTACACTTGCTGTATGGATTAGATGAATCAATGCCAAATAGAATTTCTGAATAGATTATTTACTGTCATATGTTAGTTATCATAATAAAGAAGCATGAGCATTTGCCCTGTGTGGGATTGTTCAACGGCGAATGGAAGTAAATGCGGCACGCATTCTACTTCCATTTGTACATTTGTAGTGACGTTTGAATGCGATGTTGCTTACACAGTGACTTGCGGGCGCCAGCCGATGTACACGTCAGTGTTTTTTATCCTCCCAAACAAGTCTGATACCAATTAACCGACCCCGGAGGGATAAAAGCTTGATTGGCCCAGGCACACGACACAAGATTTGATCCCCGGACGGCTCGCGTGTAAGCGTGTCATTTGCCATTACACCGCTTCTCATAAAAAACGTATCCAATTTTGGAGGCACGTTCATATTTTTGATACAGGCAAAATAATGTCCACCTGTTGGAAAAAGCCCGAATCATTCCCATTCCACGTTAAAACTGCCAAACCTAAGTTTTCCAGCAGGAGATTCATGTGATACGTATGTTTGTCGAGAACTTCTGTGGAGCCCGGTCATGGTAATTTTAGGGGTGTCTCTCTACTTATGGTACCCACTGTAGTAAATTTTTGCGTATCTTCAGCAGCAGCTTTCGTATATCTATGAATAAGGGAGGGTTCCTTTCGAATTGCCTTGCAAAGACCTCGCCAAGTACGAAACATAAAGTGAAAGTGAGACTGAAACTGAGGGAAGCTCATAAAGTGGCCTGTCCTTCACAACACACCCATGAAATCTTCCGAAAGTGTAGTTCGTAGACGTGTTTATAGCAAATATTCAGTTGTACAGCTAATTTTTGCTGTTTCTCATTACATTCGTTTTCTCAGGATGTCATTGTGATTATGGAACGTTGCAAAAACCTAGAAAACAATTGTATGGAAATAAAGGGCGCTTCTGTCGAAATCAGAGAACGAGAGTCATTTGGTGTGGAACCAGTTGGTGATACTAGGAAAAATCCTAGTGAGCTGTTTGCCTGGAAAATTTTTTTAGGGTTACCCAATTACAAACTGCATTGGGTTAAATATGCATGTTCAGGAGTCCGGAGCTTCCCTGAGCAGAACTGTTCTCCAATTCGTCGAAGTATCGACGACGCATAGAGCAGGATTCTGTCTCCTGCATACCCCAAACATAGTGAACCGGTGTAGAATGGTAAAGAATTCCGAGACAAATGCCGTTGTGCTGACAGCTCCTTTATGAACTTCCACAGTCATTGCTCGGAGTTTCCCTTCCGGCAATATTCCATCTTCATCTGAAAGCGATGCTGACCAAAAGGGAAGGGGGAGGGGTAAATAATGTAAATATACAAACACGAGACAAAGACAAGAATATAATTAAAAGAACATAGGATGTATACCGTAAACCACGTTTGCGCCAGAGCGCAGTTGCAGGCCTTCCAACGCATAGTGCCAGTACTAGTGTGAGATTGAACACAATCAACGACGCTACCCCGGCTCTCCAGGGCAGCTACCTAAAATGAAGCGGCGTCGGGCAGGGGGAGGTAATCCTCAGGCGCCGATCCATCCAGTGAGGCCAACCCAGCATGTGTGCCACGTTCTACGTTAAGACGCTTACCATTACTATGGGTGGTGAGTTTGCTCGACGCATTCTCTCCTCGTTAAGAGAGCGCAGAGGAAACGAGAATGCAGGCGAGCACACATGGAAAATCGATGACACGTGACGTTGCGCGCTCCACTGCCAACACCCCAAGGTTGAGAGGGTTACCGTATACAGCCTGTGTTTCTGGACTTATAATCTTATGAGACCAATATTGTAGATGATATTACCCTCGAACAGAAGAAAATTTCTGTGGTCATGAAAAGCATTCATGCAGTCACAGAGACTCATTTGTAATGCGGTCAAATATTATCAAATATTTAGTCTGTGCTTTATTATAGCGAGAAGTTAGTGGTTTACTACAATGGAACTAGGCCAAACTCCGATCACATCTACATACCCTTATTCATTGACCACCAATGACTCCCTTGCACTGCTCTCAAAAGCACCCAAGATTTGACCTGTGACCAGAGTCAACCTCCCGTGGCGCAAAGAACAACGTATATGGCCGAACGAAAGAGGGGGGGGGTCGTATGCACAGAGACCTGCGGTGAAATGCATTGAGAAAATAGGATTCCATGTAACAGTACCACGTGATTACAATTGCGGTACTATCACCGTCTCCAGGGGAGAGGAGGACTTTCATATGCTAGTGCGACTGCTTATCACAAGTGCACGGCGTACCCCAAGCAGGAGTCTTTACGTCAAAACGCCTTATCTGTCAGCGGCCGTAAGCAGACAACTTTCCTCAAAAGGCTCTCGATGTCTTCAGAGCAAATCTAAGTGGAAGAATGTTAGAACTTGTTTGATTAACTTCTAGGGGAAAGGCTTTTAGGGAAAATTTTGCACAAGTTGTGAAACACTCTTCATGAGGAATTCAATGCTTTTTACCTCTTCTCATTATATGAACTTTGATGGAAATTATGGACGATTGAAGATTGCAAAGTTGCGTTTCAGGGGGGATGGCTGGCTTGAAAAAATCAAGGGGAAAAAACGGAACAACGGACTATTCTTTGGAAGAGTGATATTTTTGGACAAGTTCCAGCACTGAATTGATAGCGCTTTCAGTTTCTAATCATCTTTGAACATCTGCAAAAAGTCGATTATGAAGAAATATATGAACATTGAAATGTTGAAAGCTCGCGTCTTCTCGAAAATCGGACCACAAACTTCTAAAGAAAGAAACAACGGGACTATTTTCAAGGGAGGGATTTTTGGAAGAGTGTGAGGTGTTTGTTTGGAAGCACTAACCTTCCAGTTTCTAATTAGCTTTGAACATCCGCAAAATGTTGGCAGTGAAGGAAGTCATAAGTGTTTGAATGTCGAAAACTCGCGTGTGAACAAAAAACGGAACAGCGATCGGTTTTATGAAGAACCGAGCATTTGCAAAACTTTGAATTTTTTGGGAAAGAAAGGCAATTTAAAGTTTCAGATTTTGCGTATCCCATCTCATAAGACCGCCCTTGAAGGAAAAATACACTGCGTCGCATAATCATGCAGCCACCTATCAATTTTGCAAAAACTCTCGTCTCGAGATGTTCTTGAAGAAGACTCCATATGGAAAAGGTTGCAGGTGTAAATGCTAATTTGCCCACCAACTTGAAGTTTTAGCCTTAAAATTTGAAAACAGTTTTTCTGCAATTTTTCGAAAAAGCCGCTCTGGCTCAATCCGCAAATTATACAGCCACCCCATATTTTTCTCTTGCTTTTCTTTTCTCCTCGATCAAACTTTTTTATTGTTATCACCACTTCTTCTTTGGAAGAAAATGAGAGGGATGTTGCCATCAGAATTCAAACAAAGGCTAATGGTAGCAAAATTCGTGAAGGAGTTGGGGAGCAGTTACACTACCCGAATTTCGGTCCAAGTTTGCTGTAGAGTAAGCAATTTCTCCGAGCATCGGGCAGGGGCTGATGGCGCATCCCTCTTATGTTCATCCAAAGAAGAAGTGGTGATAACAATAAAAAAAATTGATCGAGGAGAAAGGAAAAGCAAGGGAAAAATATGGGGTGGCTGTATAATTTTGCGAAATAGCCCAGAGCGGCTTTTTCGAAAAATTGCAGAAAAACTGTTTTCAAATTTCAAAGCTAGAACTTTGAGTTGGTGGGCAAATTAGCATTTATACCTACAACCTTTTCCATATGGAGTTTTCTTCGAATACATCTCGAGACGATAGTTTTTGCAAAATTCATAGGTGGCTGTATAATTATGCGGAGCAGTGTATAACCTTCTGAATGGATTGGTTTGTATTGCAACGTATTTATTACAAGGTTCAGTTATTCAGATTATAAAAGAACGAGAATTGAGTGGTCGAAAAATTTTGTTAGTTTTTTCTGGAAGTAGAAATCTCTATGATTGAGACCATGTAGTGGTTTATTTATTTATTTATTTATCTGTGCGTTCAATGACGCCCTTAGTGAAACATTTGGCTGCACGCAAAATTGTAATGCAGATTCAGAAAAGAACAAATAAAAAGGAATGAACAGAAACAAAAATAACCAGCTATAAAGACCCGTGATTAGTGGACACGTTATAAAAAGAAAAATGACAACAAGAGAATACAAACGAAAGAAAGTCGTTCAGACAGGAAGCTTTCCCCAAATCAAGAGCCGAAAAGTAAGAATGGCACTGTACTTACTGGAAATGACACTAACTTGAGTTAAAATCTCAAAGGGCTATGAAGGCTCTGGCCTGGAGATAAATGGGATACACGCTGCAGGGTAAGCCAGCACTAGTCGGCCATGGTGCCCTTTGCGCCACTGACGGGGTCATGGGAGCTCATCGGCACTTCGAAACACGGGTATGCCGACCACCCACGTGGAACCGATAAACTTGGCAAAACCCGCCGCGCAGCATACCATGACTCAGACCAGAGACCTCATGACCAATTACCTCATTTACCTCGATTCCCTCCTCTGAGCGAGACAAGGCGCAGATTGACCACGGTCCACCACTTGTACATGTCGGTGGCTGCCCATACATCAATGATGAGCATTAAATTATGTAAAGGACACAATAGTTAATAAGAGGGTCGTACCGATACCCTATGAAGGAAGGGATTGTAGAAATTTTGTAATTTTCCTCAACTTACAAAATTTTTATTGCGCAACGTGGATTAACCCTACGTTGCGCAATAAAAATTACGTATCATTTAAATTTCAAGCTGCTCAACTGTCAATATGAAACTCCTACTTCAGATAGTGCTGGTTTCTGCAAAAGAATGTGGTAGTGCTGTTGAATCAACAGGCACTTATACGCCGAGTTTCGAAATCGCCGCAGTCTACCATACGGACGACAATGGTGTGATCGACAGTGGTGCTGTGTGAGTGAATTTACATTACGCACATAATGAAAAATGTCAGATATCCCGACAACTGACATGGCATCTTTTTCCTTTTGAACCGTCTCACAACTCGACCTAACTGTTCATTCCTTCTCTGTAATTTTCACCTCTCGTATCGCCTGAGAAATACTTCCTCTGATTTGAGTTTTCTCTTCTTGACATTCTAAATATCCTGCTCTCACATTTTCCGTTGATTTTTTTGGGCTTTCTTGAGGTATGAGCAGTTAGCTACAAAGCCGCTTAGATTTGTAGGGTCTAGCTGCCGTGAAACATTATCCCCATGAAGGATGCCAATCTAGGCGAGAAACGTTGTGGAAAACACGAAAACACGAAACAAAACACGAGAACAGTATTATTCCTTTTCAGAGGTGTCCACACGTTCACCTTCTGCAATTCCAGATCTTGGGGGGAGGATTCAGTGTGGGGTATCAACCCTATTTTAATTGATCAACGGCAAAAGCTTTATCGTTATCATTATCTTTATCAACCCTATGGTTACCCCGTCCATATTATAGAAGGCGGAGCCCCGCCCGAATTGGGCGTGGCGTGTATCGAAATGAACTGTACTGACGATCAAAATTCCTAATTTGATTACAAAACAGCCTCGAAAGTGGGTAAAACAGTGGGTAAAGGTGTGCATTGGTAAGGCAGACCGAACGAGAGACCCACCTTCGGTAGGCGGGGCGTTCTCTACAAAGACCAGTGGTCATAAAAAGTTCATAACTTGCTTTGAAGAAAGCCTACAGGTCATAAAAAATTTTGGTTGGGAAGCAAGGTGCGCATTGGTGAGACAAATCGAATGGGAGGCCCACGCTCTCTAGAAAGTGGTGCTCAGTGGAAAAAATTCATGAATCGGTTAGGTGAAAGTCCATAGAGCAAAAAAATCGGTGTAGCGCAATTTTCAAGGTGTTTCTAGTATACATGGCGTGCGAAGAGTCGCTCACAATAGGCGGAGCGTGCCTGAAGTGCACAGAGTTTCCTACAAGACCCTTAATTCGGTTCCGAGAAGTCCCGGAGAACGCAAAAAGATGAATAGAGGTCAGAGAAGGAGCGAGGTGTGGGTTTGGTAGCAAGCCCTGCGAACCCTGTCTGACCAGCTAATACCGCACGCGTTGCGCCAACACAGTTCCACGGCGATATGGGATGGTGTGGCGCTAATCTCAATCTTCATCGATACACCGATATTTTACTTTTGAGCCAGATTTCACCCACTTCATCCACCAATGGCGTTTGATCTCTCGTTCCTCGCTAACCATTAACTGCTTTCTCCCGGTCTCTGGACTCAAAACCGATTTATAAGTATTATAGTAAACTTCGGTGCATGTCCCATTTACCTTTTCCTTCCTCGCAAATCTCTCCCACATTTTCTCCCGTCTCTTAAAACTGTCTCTGAAATTTATATGGTCGGCGGCAGGTTGCGCCCTTTTTAGTGCTACGCCCACCACTGGAAGTTCAATTCCTTCCCTCCGCCGGCACATAAACAGTTTTTCTCATTCTCTGGGACTACTTATTGTAAGCTCGGTAGCAAACCTTGTCCACTTTTGTGCTGGCGACGCCACAATTAACATTTAGCCTCCCTTCCTTCTCTGGCCTCCACCTTTTTCCCGCTCTTCAAGACTTCTCGGAACCGCACGGTGCCTTTTTTGTAGGAAACGCTGTGCACTTCGGATCACGCTACGCCCATTGTGAGCAAGCCTTCACCCACATCGTGTTTGTTGGAGACACCCCAGGCGTTCTTTAACTACACCAATTTTTTATGCTCTGTGGGCTCTCTCCAAACCGAGTCATGAACTCCTTCATTAAGCGCTGCTTGTATAGAGAGCGCCACGCCCACCGGAAAGGGATCCAACCAATTCGATCTGGCTTATCAATACACACCTTTTCCCACTTCTTCCCAAGTCAGGCTCTTTCGTTGAATTTGAAATCTTTTTTGGTCTGTACAGCTTGTTTCGTTGCACGCCACCCCCACTTGGGCGGGGCTCCGCTTAGATGATGTACGTTTTTCTTCTTCTCGAAAAATGGCCCACCCTCTCTGACCCAGTATGTTCAGACGGATCTTCAGGAGCTACGGAATTCTGTGACAGACAAGAAGAACGACAGACGACAGACAGACATGCAGACAAAGCAGGCCAACCGTCACGTTTGAACATTTTCGAGATTTTCGCGACCCCCTTGCTCTTGAGGGGTCCAACTGCGACCTCCTGTTTTTGTTAATAAGAGTGCTAGACATGAATCCGTTGCGCCAGAACCGCCGCAGACAGCGTCTGCATTGCGGCGTCAGCCTTGGAGCGCGGCAGGTATCACCCGGGCGCTGGAAGAACGGGACGCGGCGAAGAAAAAATTTTAGATGGGAATAACTTTCTTGGGACGTAATTTTTTGACTTGTTGAGGTAGATTTCGATTGTGCCTGAAGTGCGCTTTCAGAAAACTACAAGGATTGCCTAACTTTCCGGAAAGCACTTCTGTTAGAAGTGGAAAACCCAAAATTCTAAGAAGGCGCACCTTCAATTTTGAAGGCCCATAAAATCTTTCGTATGCGACCTTTTGGAAAGCTGTAAAAAGCTTTAGAAACTTCCAATATTTCTCTATCGAAACGTATAAAAAGTTTAGTGATTGACCCCTTTTGTTAAAAAATTGTCCCTCGAACATTTTCCGTGAAAAAGCAAGTTTTTGGGCTTTTAGCGACCATAACTCGCTTCATTTTCAAGTCTGTGATGCACTTTTTTTTCATGGGAAGGAAGGACAGGGTTTTCTCTTTTTGACGAGCACCAAGCCAATTCTAGAAGTTCATTTTTTGAGAAAATCACACGTTCGAACATTATTTTCCCATGGGTTTTTAAGCAGCACATGCGAGTTTTTGAGCTTTCAGCAATGATAACTTCCTCCAAAGAGCTTGTTGGAGAGGGATAAAGACAGCTGTGAAGACTAGGAGACTCCCGCTTCCTCAAAACTTCCACAGTACATTGGAAGAAGCGTCCCCAAAAAATAGGTCTCTAAAGAACTTTGTTTTCAGCCCCGAGAAGACAAACCTTTCATAGGGATGCATCCACTTTCTTAATCTTAAAGCAACAGTCCAGGCGGGTTTCAAACTTGGGTATTAGCCGGTCACAACATGCCCCAGCCCGACTAAAGTTTATAGGAATGTCTTAAGTTCAAAACCTGCCTCTAAAATGCGCTGGAAGGGGTCGGAAGTCCTCTGAGGGGTCGGATCACCCATAAAGAGGCGATAGTCCAAGCATCGCTGTGCAGAGTCCGCGCTTATGACATAGGATTCGTTGGTGGACCCGCCGCGCTGTATGAAGGTTCGTTCCATAAGACGCCAACTGAAGCGCTTCAATTTTTGTATTGGCCTGGCAAGTAGTTAATGTATTTGCAAGCATGCAGGCTATTTGCCCCGCTTGCAATTAAAAGCGTCATGTACTAAGGCAGTTCGGACAACTCGTCCGACGCACGTCTCCCGAGAACCGGCAGGATGAGTCCTGTCTAAGCCGCCAGTTGGGCGTTTTCTTCAGCGTTTTCTCTTACGTTACGACCACTTTTCACCCACAACTCTCATATAAGGTGCTTTTTGGCGCGCAAATTCGTTCTGGACTGTTGCTTAAGGAAACACTGTTAATCTGCCTAAACTGCCTTCTCTTGGCATAATATCGAGTCTAATGCGGTCTACACAAAGCAAAGTCTTCGGCCCTCAGAGCCCGCACGCGACTGTGGCTGCGCAGTTCTCGAATTGCGACCCCTCGTTCGAAACAGTTTGAACGCGGACGGTTGACCATGAGGGAGCGCTGTATAGATAGTAATATGAGAAAATCGGTGTATCAAGTGTTATTGCCGGTTATTTGAATCCTTATTGCGTTTTCTATTTACGCCAATTTCACACTTCTTTTCCTTTGCCAGTTATTTAGACCCATCTTATGTCGTCGGGGAAGTAATGCTTTCATCTCCCTACTATCTAACTATATATAAAGCGCTATGTCTGGTTTGGTGGGTGTGTGTGTTGTCGGGTGTCACGGAATTGCATAGCACCGCGTGCAAGCAGTCGTTGAGAGCGATTTTTTGATATGAATATAGGGGGTGGGACGGGACCAATTTGAGTTGGGTCCACTGAATGTGATAACGACTATAAGAGCAGATTAAGAAGCGCTAAAATACAAATTCAGCGAAATTGATTATGACGCTTCGCAGCAGTCGTTAAGGAGCGGATTTTGGAGCATGATATTAGGGGGTGGGACGGAACCATATTTCTTGGGGGGCGGCGCCGCGGCCGCGGGCGGGCGTGGGCAGGGCCCGCCCTGGTCACAACGTGATAACGACTGATAAGGAGGCGAAATAGGCCGACTGAAACACAAACTTCACGAAATCATAGTGCGCTCGCAGCAGTTCGCAGAGGGCTGATTTTGCGGCTTATATATGGGGGTGGGACAGGAACATTTGGTGGGGTCACCAAGATCGTATACCGACTGATAACGAGCAGATAGAGGCGCTGAAATACAAATTTACCGAAATTAGGAGTTGCGCTTCGCAGTTAGCCGTCGGAGCTGGTTTTGGGACATGATATAGGGTGGACGGAAGTATATTTGGTGGCGGGTCAAAACTGATAACGACTGATGAAGCTGAAAGGTATCGATATGCGTACGATAGAGGAACCTGAAATGAAAATAGAGAGCCAGATTGTAGATAATGCCTGTTCATTTCAGTGTCATTTCATCAGCGTTGTAATTGTAAACCCAAACACCCTCCGAAGCGCTACACCGTCTGGTTTCTTTGAGGGATGGATGGGATGCTCGATATAAATATGATTAATGAAGACTGGCATTCCGTTTCGTCCCCAGCCTATTCGACCGCTGATTACCTCGATACTCGACGCATAGTTGGTTGTTTTCGTCATCCTTTTAGCTGGGCACTTCACTGCGCTTATCATGCAGTGAGATACAGCCAGCCTATGCCACGAACAGTAATACATTTAACGAGGCCGACTAT